CGCCAGCATCAAGGAGCTTTTCAAGGCGGCGCTCGCGGAGATGCCGTCGCTGATGTAGTGGGTCAGGGCTTCGCTCTCTATTCTGGAATGTAACTATTTGGAGCCCTCTTGCCAAATCTTTCGCTGCTCAGTTGCGTAGTAAGGCTGGCGCCTCCTGTTCGCCGGACACCGCCAGCTCCCAGCCGATTTGAAGTCGGCCAAGCGTGATGTGGCCACCGCTGGGTGGCGCCCCCATTTCCTCCCGGCCCCTCCCTCCCCCGGGAGAGGGGCCCGCGGTGGTGTCGGAACCGCGGTGCACAAAGGCATGTTGTCCAAGCGCTTTCTGGCCCAAGCTGGCCAACTTAGGGACGTAGGCATTTGCAATGGCTGAATGTTCCTGGAGCTCCGAACCCAATCCTGCGCGATGGCCGTCGGGGTTGTATATAAGGTAGCTGATCTGGGGGTCTCGGGCGTGAACATTACCAAGATGAAAGAAATTGCGTCTTTCGTGAGTACTTTCACCATGCATTGGTTCCTGATGGGGACTACAACATCAGTCTAGCTCATATGGAGGCCTGTGGTTGCTTGAAGATGGTTCGTGGTAAAGCTCTACCTCCAGCTGGCGTCTCTCTCACTTGCAGTAATGGAGGTGGATCCATGATTGACTGCTCGATTGCCTGTGACTCTTTGGCTCCGTACTTTCGAGTGTCCAAGTACCACGCTTCCCCCGGAGACGCACTGCTGCATTGAGGTGCGGCTCCCGCATGAAGCCCTGGTCCAGACTATGTCCAAGCGTGTTCGGCCTCTCCCACTGCCCAGTCATGAGGGACCTGTGCTGCCGTGGGAGTACCATTTCCAGACTGCGCTGGCCGACTGGGCTCCACCTCGCGCGGGCCCTCCACCTCAACTTCCCCACATCCAGGCCAACCTCTCTGATGACCTGACGTCGTCGTATCTGTTGTGCTCGCGTACTTACGAGAGGATGAAGCTTTCGATCTTAGGAGAAGACGAGGATAATGACCATCGAGGTCGGGGAGATTTTGTTGATTTTCGCCTCACTACCTTGACTGATCATGCCTCACGCAGTGGCTGTGTTGCCCAGCCTTTGCTTACCTGTTGGTCCACCGTGTCGCAGAAACTGCATGAGATGAGGGCGGCGGTGAGAAAGGGATACGGACGCATGCTTCTCTAACTATCTGCCCGACTGGGTGCCCTGGGACGCCGCCTTCTTCCGCACTGTGAATGCCTCCCAGCTGATCAGACCGCCCAAGAGTGGCAGGCTCAGCTAGCGGACCTGGACCGTGTTCAGGCCCTGATAGATCGATGCAGTGAAGTCTTGTCCAGGGCATGGCAGCTCGCCCGTGTCTCAGCAACTAAGGCGATTAAGGATTGGCTGTCGCGGGCGCTCCCTCGAGGCGTCTCCAAGGCTCATGCCTGGCTCAGGCGTGAAGAGTAGGAGGGATTCGAATTTGTTGTTGCCCTCCAGGGCGCCCTCCAGCTCCCCCAGGAGATGAGGGCCCATCGTGAGAAGGTCTTGGGGTTTTTGGGCTGCCAGCCCGGCCCAGATACGACAGCTGGATGGGGCTTTGGATGAGCTCCGCTCGCGCGCCTTGGACTACGCGCCTGGGCTTCCTGAAATCACCCCCCGCGGGACCTCCACCTCGCCTCCAGGGTCTTCTCTGAAACCACTGCGGTCGGGGTGGATGGCAAGAGGCCGCGTGATGTCTTGGATGTGAATGATGGTGCTGCCGAAATGCTCGTGGGTTTGTCTAACGACTGCGAGGCTAGGATGACGTGGCGTGCCCACGCCCTCCTTGGGATTAGCTGTCTGCTCCCCAAGAGGAAAGTTGACGAGCGTCCTGCGTGCAAATGCCCCACCCTGCACCGTGTGCGCTGTAAAATGAGGGGGGAGTTTCTGGCAACCTGGAGTCGGAGTCATATCGACTACTGGGATGACGCCATCAAAAGAAGTTCCGCCCTCCAAGCTGCGCTGCGTCGTGAGCTGTCCCATGAGGTGGCGAATTTCCAGGGTGCCGCGAGTGTCGCGATCCATTGGGATCTGAAGAAGTTTTTCGATACGGTCGCCCCTTTCAGGCTTGTGAAGTTCGCCATTGATCTGAACTCCCCCCCACACACACATCACCTGTTGCATCTTGGGCTCCTTGGCCATGTTGCCCCGAGGATGCTCGAGAGAAGTGGCTTTTGCTCCCAGGTCATACCCGCAGGAGTTGGAGTCCTCCCAGGTTTCATGCAATCGATGTATTGGATGAAGATATATCTTTATCAGATATTGGATGATGTCCACAATCGCTACTTCTTTGCTACGCCTTCTGTGTCTACTAGATCGCATGTCGATGACATATCCCAGGTATGCCAGGGAGCGGACGACCTGGTTAGGCGTCAGATCGTTGCTGCTGCTGCACTCCTCGGCCTGTCGGTTGAAGCAGCCGAACTTGTTTTATCGAATACGTCTGCGGTTGTCGCTGACCGTCGGCCTCTCGCCCGCCTCGTGGCCGGCGAC